TAGGGAATGTGTGTGTTTGTCTGTGTGTGAGTGTGTGTGTCTGTGTGTGTCTCGCCTCAGTGAAAAAGGTGATTGTCTCATGAAACAGTATCTCATGATGAAACAGTATCTTGACGATCGTTTCTTGAGGTGGGGTCTCGCCTCAGTGATAAAGGCAGAGAGTGAAAGGGTACGAAAGAAGGGCTAAAACTGATGACCCCTGCAATAATGCAGTGCCCAGAAGAATGGCGTCCTTGGACCAAGATCTCTGTGATGATGAGCGAGGAGGACGGCGTTTTTGAGTGCTGTCCAGACTTCACGAGGGTGTGTGCAGGTAACCCACACTGTCAGGTGTTGTTGATCTTCCACCAAATGTCCTGTGAAGCAGACTGTACAAAAGGGAGAGCCTTTTTTTCGTCGTAGATACAAGAAAAGCAGCAGGAGTAGAAGAATTCTGCATAATCAGCCAAAGCAGACCGGCATGCTTAGCTACTGGCAAGGTGGGGATTAGGCGCCAAAAGGCAGCGAATTTGGCTTGAGAGAGGTGAATCCCTTGTCGACGCCATTCGACTGTGTTCTTTTTTTTCACTTCTTCTGTGGTCTCTTCCTTTTTTTTTTTTTTTTTTTTTTTTTTTTTGACTTCAAACTGTGACAACGTTCGAGTAAAATTTGGCAAAGGAAAGCCCTTGCTCTGCCTGAGGTGGAGGGTTGGAGGCCCTGCGACCCCTGCATTTGCTGAACTGTGCATTTGCCTTGGGCACTGGGCCCGGAGTAATGAAAAGTGGCCTTTCTTGGTAAAAAAAAAAACAAGAAAACATGAGAAAGGCCCTTTTGTGATCTGGTTGTTTGCTGTCAGTCTTAATTTCAAGTTTTTTTTTTCCCGCTGCTCTTTAACCGTCCAGAATACGCCAGTAGCTAAGTGACCGTGGTGCGGGCTACGCCTGCAGAAATAACAAATGCGGTGGGTGACCTCACACTGCATTCCGGATGGCTCGCCTCCAAGATGTTCGTCGGCAGAAACAACGACGGCCTACCGGGGGGCACAGAATGCAGCGCGCAAGAAATGAAAAGAGAAGGGGAAAAAAAAAAAAAAAAAAGGGGGGGGGGGGGGGGGGGGGGCACAAAACGACAGGCGCAAGAGATGTAAAAAGGGGGGGAAGGAAAAAAAAAGAGGGGGAAAGGGGGGGAAAAAAAAAAAAAAAAAAGGAAAAAAAAAAAAAAAAAAAAAAGGGGGGGGGGGGGGAGGTGGGGCACAAAACGACAGGCGCAAGAGATGTAAAAAGGAGAAGAAGGACACAAAACGACTGCCAAACGGGGAGAACAAAAAAAAAAAAAAAGCCGCCCGCATATCGGATGGCTCGCCTTCAAGATGTTTGTCCGCATCAACGCCAGCCGTGTTTCCCCCACCTCCCGGGGTGCGTCCTCTCGTTTATTGGCGCGCTGGAAGGAGAAGTCGTAAATATAACCTATACTGCATTCTTCGGAGGCCAGCGGAGGCCGAGCGCCACGCGACCATAAAGGCTGGCGGCACCAGCCAGAACAAAATGAAAACGGTTGCGCCGACGATTCGGCAAAAGCTTGGCGTGCAGCACTACTCCACCTCGGCAAAAAGAGGCCCACAGGTTACCGTAGTGGTGGTTTAAATTCACCAGTACTTGGCCCAGCTATCGATGCCGAGCCTGGAATGCCCCTGCGCGCCAACGTTTGCTGAAGCGCCGGGGTACCGTTTCGATTTTTTTTTGGCTGGCGCTTCCAGCCATTGTGGTCCGGTGCCCCGAAGCCCTAAATGCGCGGCCCGGTATCGCGGAAGTGCCACGGCCGATAGCTGGGCCAAGTACTGGTGGTTTAAACCACCAGTACTATGCCCATACATCAGCCATGGGAAAGTAATTTGAGCCAAAGCATTTCTAGTCAGATGAATTTGGACGCTCCCTCGGTGGCCCGTTCGTTCATCATCATTGTAACAGTTGCGATTGGGAACGCGCCGCGACTTTCGGAGGTCCTGGCGGCTTAAACCACCACTATGTCCAACCCTCCTTTTCCTGCAACGAGTTGTGTTGTTAGTTGTGGTACCAACCGGGCTGCCGGGGTCACCCTTGGTTGCCCGGGTGGCACGGCCGGGCAAGGGCCAGGCGAGGTCCCCGAGAGGAAAAAAAAAAAGAAGATGAAAAAAAAGCAGAAAATATAATCCACAAAATCTGAAAAAGAAGTATGCTGTGCAGAAAGTAAAAACTGAGTTGGTCATAGTAAAACGTATCAAACACTGATTTTGTCATTTCTGCTTCTGGACAAAGGATGCATGCCTGCACCTCAGTTGGGTACGAATGGTCCCATAGGTTCCTTTTTGGGGTGTTAGGTGGGGGAATACCCGGCCTCCTTTTTGGGGTTGTCGTGTGTTACAGTACTGCCAACTATCATAATGACCTGACAGCAACGACTTTCGGAGGACCCAGCCCATTGGGCTGAGTGCACCACACACCCAGAAAAAGCGGCGGCGAATTCCACGGCTCACAGC